GTATTTTTAACTTTTATATATATATATATATGGAGGGGTTCTGGTGGGGGGGGGGGTGTGACAACCCCCTCGGGATTCATATACTCAGGTATTGTCTCTGCCATGGGCGGCCATTCGCTCTTTTAATCCCCTCTTATTGGCACGCAGCCTCAAGGGAGAATCGAACCCGTGACCTATGGCTCCTTTACATCCCTCCCAAGGAGATCGCCTCTTACCAATTGAGCTGCAGTTCGATTCTCCCTTGAGGCTGCGTGCCAATAAGAGGGGATTAAAAGAGCGAATGGCCGCCCATGGCAGAGACAATACCTGAGTATGTTGATCCCGAGGGTTTGTCACGGGGGTGAAGTACAAACCAAGAAACTATAAAGAGGTAGACATAACATACAACTTTATTGTTGTTTCTTATTTTTTTGTGGAAAACTTTATTGTATTTTCATCTATCTTCTTTTGTGATCAAGGTGTTATGTAGTTCATAAAAAGTAAAGAAAAGAAAAGATTCCCAAAATATAATGATTCTTTCTCCTTGACAGTTTTTATTTTTTCTCAAAAAGGTTTTCCTATAGAAGTAAGTAGAGGTGTAAAAAAATAATAATTAAAAATCAGTTAAATCGATCAAATCGAATTAATTAATTAAAAATCAGTTAAATCGATCAAATCGAATTAATTAAGAGAGATAACTATACAATATATCAAAAAAAATATTATTACCGATCATTTCTTTATCTAAAAAAATAGAAAATTGAAACTTCCACCTACTTACAAGTAATTTTAAAATAGAAAGTCAAGTGTCATTAGATTTAGAGCTGCTAGAGGTTTAAGAGACACATATAAAAGTGTTAATTGCTGATAAAAATATAAATTTAACGACAATTAAGCTATTATCATTATTTAATTGACGCTAAATCATTTTTATGTAGTGTCAATTAGGCAATGCAAATACTGTTCATTTACCTACGTGTGAGATCACTTCTTCCTTTTTTGAAAAAAAACTATCACTAGTTTCTCCAACAATATCTAATTTCAATACATCAAAAATGAGCTTTAGCGAAAATTAATTAACAATTGTCATTAATTATGTATTTTTAGCGGCGATTACCACTCTTTATATATGTCCTTAAATGCTTTGATGATATTGAATCTAATGACACTTAATTAATGCCGATAAAATTTTTAACATTCTTTATTAATATGTCTATTTATTATCGCTAAAAGTTATTTTCATTATAGTATTTAAATCATAAGTCTCATAATATGAAACAAATAATAAAAAGTACATAAGATATAAGAATTTATAAATAATAATATAAAATAAAAATTAAGCAAATGACATACTGTAAATGACAAATTACATTCTATCCCTATAATATCAATATTTACCAAAAATTCTTCTTTTGAGAAATCATGATACTTTATAAAATAAAATGATACGTAAATAGAAATGGCCGAATACTTTAATTTTTTTTATGTTAACTGTTACTGCGCAAAAAAAAGGGTAACAACTTTCCGATGATTTACATTAACTATTAACAAGATTACCGTCAAATCTGCATAAAAGACGTACTAATTTATTGCATTATTCAATTTCATAATATTAAAAAATTCAGATTTTGAATCAGAAAAAAAAATGATTTTGCGTAAAAAAAATCTCTGCAACGCCGATTCTGAATTTTCAAAGATGAATATTTCGATCCTGTTGCGACGTTCTGGAATATGGGAAAGTGATGTTATGTATGAGCGATACAAAAGTGATGGGATAGTGGTTGGTGAAAATATTTCATTCATGAATCTTATTTCAGCAATTGCGGCTGAGCTGGGTATTGACGAATCGAAAAAAAATATAGAGATTAGATATGTTGTTGAAGGAAATCCGTCTCCATTGTGTATTCGGACTGATATGGGTGTAAAATTGTATATAGAAATTAAGAAACATGAGTGCATATTACATACCGGAAAAAAGCAATGCAAAGGCTCTCAATATTTCTATATACAATTTTACACCCATATCAGTCCGAATACACAATGGAGACGAATTCCCTTCAACAACATATCTAATCTCTATATTTTTTTTCGATTCGTCAATACCCAGCTCAGCCGCAATTGCTGAAATAAGATTCATGAACGAAATATTTTCACCAACCACTATCCCATCACTTTTGTATCGCTCATACATAACATCACTTTCCCATATTCCAGAATGTCGCAACAAGATCGAAATATTCATCTTTGAAAATTCAGAATCGACGTTCCAGAGATTTTCTTTACGCAAAATCATTTTTTTTTCTGATTCAAAATCTGAATTTTTATTATTATGAAATTGAATAATGCAATAAATTAGTACGTTTTTATGCAGATTTGACGGTAATCTTGTTAAAAATTAACATAAATCATGGGAAAGTTGTTACCCCTTTTTTACGCAGTAACAGTTAACCTAAAAAAATATTAAAGTATCCGATCATTTCTATTTACGTATCATTTTGTTTTATAAAGTATCCGAATTTCTCAAAAAAAAAATTTTTTAATAAATATTAATATTATAGGAATAGAATGTAATTTGTCATTTACAATATCGTTTGCCTAAATTTTACATATATAAGTATAGTTATAAAGAATTGTGTACAAAGTTTGTCGATTTGATCTGATCTTATCTTCTATTTATTTTTAATAAAATTTAATCAAATCAAATATTATATTACTAAACTCATCCATTTAACAATTGACGAATAGAAAATTGCCACATATAGTTTAACTATAATCATAATTCATAAACTTTATTATACATGCAAATAATTCGTGGTACAAATTGTGGCTTCAAACACTTGGACAACTGTATTTTATTAATTTATTATTAATAATACAATTATTGCCTACATAACTTACCAACAAGTTTGTTGCCAGAATTATAGTACCAAAAAATATATTCCAAAAGATTAGAAAAATAAATAAAACTTTTTTAATACACGACCTTCCAATTCTTCATATCTTAGGCACATCATAAAATAAATTAATAAATGATTTATGATTGGTTAGGAATAAAAAGAATGTCAGAAATTTAAAAACAAAAAAAAAATCAACAAATGCAGAGACATGATAACCTAAACGCCAACGTGAGGAGATGTAATATCCTTCCAATCTATTTTTCTCAATTTTAACTTTAAGAAAATAAAAAAAAATATAATAATTACTGTCTTAAATTAAAAATATTTATGTTCTTTAATCTTGTAAGTTTAAATATATCACATTGTAATTTAAAATCAATAGTTATAACAGCAACATATCCGGCGTAATTCACTAATAGAGTTTAGAAAGAGTAATGTGTATGCATACCATACCTTTATCTTATGGAGCGGTGGCGTAGCTACCCTTTTGTCAGGTTTCCTTCGTCGGAAAATTATATTCTATATATACAAGCAAAATGATAAGCAAAGTGGCGAAATAATATATTTTGGACACTCTTGAAATAACAATATGATGTAGTCGGTTGGTTTCAAGCGCCTTGAAAGAGTAAAGACACACAAACTTAAAGTGTTCGTGTGTTAGCACGCACTCGGACACCCTTCGTGAAATTTCTGATTTCGCCACTGTTATGGAGGCGAAAAGACTATTTTCGAATGACCATCGACTCGAATGATAACCACAAAAATGTGATAACCTATAGAAAATATTTTTTAAAAAATAAACTAAAACGGAAAGTAAGACAAACTATTACTTCATCAACCGTTTTATTTCCCCTCTTCACAAAGAGACAGTCTTTCTTACCTTATTTTTCTCTTTTCCACTTGTCTGTTTTATTTTTCTCTCTTTCCTCCCTTTAGAGAACAAACAAACAACACAACACAACACAACACAAAAACACAAGTTTCTTTGATCATTTTTCATTGATTATATTCTCTTTTTGTTCTCAATGTGCTACGATGGATCATCGGAGAACGTTAACGATGAGCTGGGATGGTCTTGGAGACGATCAAGATGACGATGACAACTTCTTTGAGTCTCGTGATCGTCTCTCCACAGCCATTCCTCTTGACTTAGGATCCTCAGGATCAGACGATGATAATGAATACGAGGACAGTCGTCTCTCCTTTGTTTCGACTCTTTCATCAGCATCCATCAAGAAATTCCAAGGAATTGAAATCGAAACAGTTTCTGATCATTCATTTAGCAGCGCTGACTATGGAATGTGGATGGCTGAACCAGGGGATATTAAGGAACGTCGTAAACGCCTCTTACAAGGTATGGGATTGTCAAGCAATAAGGACCTTCTCAAGTTGAAAAGTGCAAAGATTGTTAGAGCTATTTCAAGGAAAGTTGAGAAAATCAAAGACACGAAATCAACTAAGACGAATGAGTCTTCTCGTGTAAAAGGATTAAATCAAGAACGTGAGCCTGTAACTATACAACCGGTTAAGTTGGTAAGGTCGAGATCAGATGGAGATATACAATACTTTTCTGTAAATACAAAGAAAAGGAAAGATGATTTGATTGGTGACATTTCTAAACAACGTCTAACAAGGACGTTTTCTGGTGTTTTAGCACCGAGTATAGGTACATGTCAATTAACAGCTTCTGTTAGAATGTCGCCAACAAAAAACAGATCGTTGATGCAAAATGGGAGTGATT